CTGCCTCAGCCTCCCGAGCAGCTGGGATTATAGGCACCCGCCACCACACCTAGCTAATTTTTGTATTTTTAGTAGAGATGGGGTTTCACCAAATTGTCCAGGCTGGTCTCAAACTCCTGACCTCAGGTAATCCACCCATCTCAGCCTTCCAAAGTGCTGGAATTACAGGTGTGAGCCACCGCACCTGGCCCCAGAAGTTTACTTTCAAATAGTGGTATCTTCAAGTTTCCAAATATGAGTGTCTGCAGTTGTTTGGGGGCAAAAACCTGTCAATCATAAATTTCACAAATACTTAGTAGTATGACCTGGAGGCATTTACAAATTGGAGGCTTATGTGAGGAATTGTTGAAGAAAATAGGAAAAAGGCTGTGGGAAAATGCCACCTTTAACATATATCTGTGCAACCCTCACCTCACAATTCTAATCCAACTACAAGTCTATTTACCAGATTGCTGCCGAGGCAGAAATAACTATGGAGCTCCATGACTGTAAAAACAAAGCCTAATGTGTGCCAGGGTCCTCACAAAATTAGAGGATGATTTTGTTGCTCTCTGCTCAGACTAGACCTTCATGATCTGCCATTCAGGGGTGAGAAGCTGCTAGAAAGTTTAGTCAGAGAATATCTGTGAGTCCTGCTACACAGGATGGGAAGTGGTGTCCCTAGCTCTCACTAGGCTACAGAAGTTTATAAGATGCTTTGAGCCTTCTATATGCTTAATGGGGCACAGTGGAAATTTTTGCAACTGAGGATACCAGAGGGCAGAAATACATTATGCAATCTGCCACATGACACAAGCACGATTACCAGTGCTTAAGGTACCCTATAGATTGAACTGAGCTCTGATAATAAATATATCCATGACTAAGCAAAGGAAAATAAGAATTCATTTATGATGATCCATTGTCCACTGAAGAATGAAAAAGCAAAAGGGACAAGTTGCTAGTGAAATGAAGCTGCTGGCAGAGATGGATGACAATAAAAATACTACTACTACTACTAATAAAATAATAATAAACAAATTCAATTATGACATTAATAGATTGTGAAACAATAAAAATATCAGATGTAAATTAAAACATTTTAATGATGAAATGAGACAGGATAATACTACCATAACACAAATTACATCCTTGGAAGATGAAATGGAAGAAAAATCTCAGAAGATAAATGATGATGGGAAAACTGGATATCCACGCGCAAAAATATAAGACTAGGTCCCTACATCTCGTCATGTACAAAAAATCAACTCAAAATGGATTAAAAGCTTAAATGCAAGATCTGAAACTATAAAACTACTATAGGAAAACATAGTGGAAATGCTTCAAGACATTGATCTAGGCAAGAATTTTTTGGATAAGAACTCAAAAGCATAGACAAAAATAACAAAAATAGACGAATGGGATTAAATCAAGCTAAATTTCTTCTGCACAGGAAAAGAAACAACAGAGCAAAGATACAACCTACAGAACAGGAGAAATATTTGCAAATAATGTGTCTTGTAAGGGATAAAATATACATCCGGAATATTTAAGGAACTCAAATAATTCAGAACAAAAAAAATAAATAATTTGATTTAAAAATTGGCAAAAGATCTGAATAGATATTTCTCAAAAGAAAACATATAAATGACCAATAGGTATATGAGAAAATGCTGAACGTCACTAATTATTAGGAAAATACAAATAAAAATCACAATAAGATCATCTCACACCTTTTAGAATGGCCATTATGAAAAAGACCAAAAAAAAAAAAAAAAAAACCCACAAATGTTGGTGTCTATGTGGTGAAAGGGGAACTTTTATATGCTGCTGATGAGCATGTAAATTACTACAGCCATTATGGTCAATAGCATAAAGGTTCCCCAAAATGTAAAAAAGGGAACTACCATATGATCCAGCAATCCCAGTACTGTGTATATATCCAAAGGAGATAGAATCATTAAGTCCAAGAGATATCCGCATTCTCATGTTTACTGTGGCACCATTTACAGTGGCCAAGAGAAAGAATCAACTTAAGTATTCATCAGTGAATGAAAGAAAATGTGGTGCATGTATACAATGGAATACTATTCGGCCATAAGAAATAATAAAAACCTGTCTTTTGCAACGACATGGATGAACCTAGGGCATTATTTTAAGTGAAATAAGCCAGACACAGAAGGACAAATACTGCATAACCTCACTTATATGTGTAATCTTAAAAACGCTGATCTTATAGAAGTTGAGAACAGTTGCCAGTAGCTGAGGAGGGTACTCGGGAAGAGAAATAGAGTGAGGTTGGTCGATAAGTATGTCACAATCAGCTAGGAGAAAAAAGTTCTGGTATTACATAGCGCATAATGGTGAATACAGTTAGCAATAATGTATTGTATATTTCAGAATAGCTAGAAAAATGATTTTGAATATTCTTATCACAAAAAATAGTAAATGATTAAGATAATGGATATGCTAATCAACCTGATTTGATTTCTTTGTTTCTTATTTTTTTGAGATGGAGATTCACTCTGTCACCAGGCTGGAGTGCAGTGGCATGATCTTGACTCACTGCAACCTCTGTCTCCCAGGTTCAAGTGATTCTCCTGCCTCAGCCTCCCAAGTAGCTGGAATTACAGGCATGTGTCACCACACCCAGCTAATTTTTGTATTTTTAGTAGGGACGGGGTTTCACTGTGTTGGCCAGGATGGTCTCGATCTCTTGCCCTCCAGATCCCTCTGTCTAGCCTCCCAAAGTGCTGGGATTACAGACGTGAGCCACCAAACTCGGCCCCCTGATTTGATTTCTAAACATTGTATACATGTATTGAAACATCACACTGTACTTCACAAATATGTAAAATCATGTGTCAATTAAAAATAAAAGAAGACTAAAATAAGATATGTATATCTGGCTAGAAAAGCTGAGGAACTTTGAGCAGAGATCCTGAAATTAATAGGGGTTCCAGAAAGGGAAAAATCAACAGATAAAGAAATAATAATTAAGGAAACAATTGAACAGATTTGAGTGTACCTATTGAAAATAATATGGGAGTTTCCAGAAAGGACTTGTTAAGGAACATACAAGTAGGTATATCCTGATCTTTAAAAAAAAAAAAAAAAAATAGAAAATGAGCACCTGGAGAGAGAAGTAACTTTCAAAAAAATCAAATTAATATTGGACTTGTCATCCCTAATATCAGAAACTACAAGTTGTAGACTAAGGGGAAAACTATTGTGAAAAAAAGGAAGTGTGACCTCCAAAACTAGGCAAGATATAAATAGTGCCCACAGCCCCCTTTGAGTAATATTTTCAAGAAAAGACTAATGGACCCTAAACATCTAATAAACTTTGGCAAAGCCTTAAGAGAGGAAATGATGATGAAAGGAAAGAAATAGAGGTGACAATAAATACTGAAATATATATAAGTAAATCTAAAAGGAATATGCCAGAGTGACTATGAATGCGTAATATACATGAAAGTGAAAAGATACACTACAAAAGAAATCTAATTATAATCTGGAACTAAAAATATTATCACAGAAAAGTTGAAGAGAAGATAAAAGTAGGAGCAAAATCTCAATTCCAAACCAGGTGAAAGATGGGAAAGAAGGAAAAAATAAACAAAAATAGAAGGATAAATAGAAAACATAGACTATGATGACAGAAATAAGTCCCAATATGACAGTAACTACAACAAATGTAAACAGATTAAACTTTAGAACCAGATTCCACAAACTGTGACCTGAGGGCCCAACAGAGTATAAAGTTTTATAGAGACTCTGCCTGTTTACATATTGTCTGTGAATGTTTTTATCCTATAAAGGCAGAGTAGTTGCAAAAGGTACCACATGGCCCACAATGCTGAAAATATTTTACTATCTGGCCTTATATAGAGGAAGCTTACAACATCTGTTTTAGAATCATAAAAAGAGATTCAATGATCTGATTATCTTAAAAACACATATTTGGCAAGATATTGTCCACAGTAAATGCATTTAGAGCAAAAAGATATAGTAGTTAAAAATAAAAATACAGGAAAACATATATTTGAGTAAATGTGAACCAGGAAAAAAAAGCAGAGGTAAAAACTTTTAATATCAAGAAAATATATATATGCCAGTCAATGGTCAAGAGATCAAGGAAAATATGTAATGACTATGAGCATGTATGCACTTAATAATATAGCTTTGAAATAAAGCATGTGGCAGAACTAGGTAAGTTGATAAAGGTACTTGGAGATTTTAATGCACCCCTCTCAAACACTGGTAGTTCAAGCAGATAAAATTTAAAGTAAGGTAATTGACTGTAGATTTCTTTACATTTAAAATTTATATTCAGCAAACAAAAAATATACTTCATTTTTAAGCACACAAGGAATATTCTCATTAACTATATTAAACTGTTTCACAGTATGTATCAAATACCTTAAAATTACGCAAATCATTTAACCCAGCAACTTCTCTTTCAGGCATTTACCTTAGGAAAATAATCAGATTTGCACATAGATATATTTTAACCTAATGTTCATTGCAACATTGTTTATATTAGAAACAGATTGGTAATAGCCCACTGTCACACAATAGAGCAGTGATTAGATAAATCATTGGTGCATTAACACGTAGTTGGTAACAGCCAGGAATGCTCTTTCTTCGACATGAATAAAAAATTGCTAGTTCCAATACAGGCATAGACAAAGGGCCAGGGTATAACCGGATGCACAGGCCCAGATGAATGAAAATGCTATGCTTGTGAATAAATGTGAAAGAACAATTATTTTAGGACCTGAAATTGTAAAGCTAAGACTTAGTAATGGTACTTCTTGAGTAGCAACAGGATTCACTTTGGGGCTAGTATATGATGCTTTGGGGCACTTATGTGATCCCTTGAGCAGAGGTCAAGATAAAAGCCTAGAAACTTTTGCTCAAGTCATCATGGATCTAACAAATTCCTACCAATGGACAGAAAAGGGACATTCAGAAACTAACCTACCTCAGATATGCCCTATGCCTGTCTGTACTCCTACCTTTTTTAGCTTGATAAAGCTTATGAGTAGAAGTAATAGATATCCATAAATTTCATTTTCAGCATTCCTCAAACCTAGTCTGATCTTTGTCCAGCACCTAAGGCATAATTACATGAAAAATGATGAATCCATTAAGAATAATGTTAGACAAATATTGAATTCTTATAGCAAAGGTGTATTAGGACGTATCCAAAAAGCAATCACTACATAGCGTTATAGAATGAGATACTATTCAATTATAGCTATCCTTCAGACACATAAATAGAAAAAATAACTAGAAAATGTATACCAGCCTGTTCACAGTTCTCCAGAACTGAGATTATAATTATTTCACTTCCTTTTAGTCTTATGTATTTGCTATATTGAGAGCAATTAATATGTATTACTTTGGTAAAGATAAAAATTGATGTTATTTCACAAACATAATTAAATAAAAACGAATGCCATAAAACTAATGTATAATATTTCATATGGTAGTTCTTAATTATCCCACTTTTTTCAACAACACACTGGAAAATTCCCACTGAGTTTCATGGGAATTATAAAAGCCCATGGGACTGGGGAAGAACTGATTCAATTTCTGTTTCTAATGCTAGTATAATGGATAATTTCTAATTTTGGATTATAAAACTAAGATAAATTGAGCTTATCTAGGAATATAATTCATATAAATGAGTTTATATACATAAAATTAAAACTCTAATTTTAAACATATAAATAATTAACAATAATTTAGGACAGCTAATTTAAAATCCTTAAGATTAAATCTCTTAATTTAAATAAAGAAAATATATTATTTCCATTATTATACTGTTTTCTTGGAAAATAAAACATCATTTCTACAATGGGAAAAAAATAGTGATCTAGATCTGCTAAATATCTGAGTGAGTCAGACAAGTCAGATTTATCTCTAAATCCTGCATCTGGATACAATTATGCATTTATATATTTATTTATATATAAATTATACATTTACTTAAGATTCTACAGAACAGTCTTCTAAAATGCACCACTATTTCAAAGTTTATTCATTGGGTAGGTTCTATTTTCTTCGTGCATAATATGAGACAGTCGGAATAAATGATCTCTGCTGATTGCTTAAACAGGGTGAGTGTCACCCTACAGGCACACAAATTCTATGAAGGGATCTGTGTTGATATAAAGTCATCCCAGTTTTATACAGAGATTCACAATGCTAACTTAAGAACATATTTGTCCCCCTAAAGGAACTCTCTTTTCCAATCTGACCCAATGACCACATTGAAATGTCTCTGCAACTATAAAGCACACCAGGCTCACCCATAGGAATGCCTCCTGCTCCATAGATACTGGAATTCCTTTAAATAATCCCTATAATCTCCTGCCATTTGTAATCTCACCAATATGTGAAAGGGTTTCTCAGTTGCCATGCTCTTAAAGGTCCTCTTACACATCTAGATGTATCAATTCATATCATTTTACGTTTTTGTTTTATAAGTTAATTTATACATAGGTCTCATTTGCAAGTAAAGGAAAGCATTCTACTGGTTTTCAGAAGTTATCTAAAGGCTGCAACTTACTGCTTTCCATAATGCTATCAAAATATACTCTATTTATTATTTCTGCAAAGCAAAACCAAAACTGAAATCCACAAAAATACAGCTAATTCGTTTAAATAGTATTAAAATTCCTCATTAGATCTAGGTGAATACTCTAATCCTTAATCCTATACTATCATTGTGACAGCAACAAAACTGACATTTTTTTTTATTTAAAATGTTTACTAGAACAAAAGACAAATGCTTCCAAGTTAATTAATGCTCAAATAATATAAAATATAAAAATTAAATCAGAATTTCTAACACTGCATCTCACAGCCACATTATCATTTAGTGAATTTAATATGAGTAATATCACCACTATGACTATTAAATGAACGAATAAATGATTATCTACTTCTTTGTTATTTACCATGAAAGCTAAAATGTATGTTTTTATCCCTTTTGCATGTGATTTTTCTTTTTAGCTCATTCCAATAAATGAACTCTTTAATCCACCATTGTTTCACACATAATCTAATTTGTGTAATATATTTCTCTATTTATTTACCTTACGACTCATACTACCACATTATTTCTTTAATTGTGTAATTGACTGTAATGAATTTATTATGAGTTAAATGTTACTATAATGATAGTTATTGCATTATTAGGTGGTTTCTTTCTTTTTTCTTTTTTTCTCAGGTGCCAATCATGTTTTATAATATATTACTAACTAAAATATTTTTTAAATATTGATGAGAGAATAATTATCATTTACATAGCATTGTAAGATATATAAATGGTCATTTACAAAGCTCAAATGTTTCAGAGATGCACTACAATATTTAAACTACAATAGTTTTTTTCTCAATTCTAAACATATTACATGATTGCTATTAACATTTAGAAAATATAAATATTCAAAAATAGCTCTCTCTCTTCTATAATGATCTGCTCATTCGCTTCTTTATGAATTCTACTGAATATTTTCTGTGCTTACATAAGCATAGTTACAGAAATCCTCTATTTATACTAATAGAATCATACTGCATATTCTGTTCTGCAACTTGTGTTTTAAGCAACTTATGTGTTAACCCAATATATATCACTTACACCTTCCCAATGTTAATACGTAGTATTCTAGTATTCAGTATATCTAGTATTCTTTTTTTACATATATACTTTAAATTCTGAGATACATGTGCAGAATGTGTAAGTCTGTTACATAAGCATAGACGTGTCATGGTGGTTAGTTGTACCCATCATCCCGTCATCTACATTAGGTATTTCTCCTAATGCTATCACTCCCCTAGCCCCCCACCCCACTACTATCCCTCTCCTACTCCGCCATCCCCCGGACAGGCCCTGATGTGTAATGTTCCTCTCCCTGTGTCCATGTGTTCTCACTGTTCAACTCCCACTTATGAGTGAGAATAAGCAGTGTTTGCTCTTCTGCTCTTGTGTTAGTTTGCTGAGAATGATGGTTTCCAGCTTCATCCATGTCCTGTAAAACATTTCTTGATTGCCAAACATTAATTTTATTAGGAATGTAAATTTTCCAGTGTAATCATTTATTGATGTAGCTTAAAAGGCACCAAAATCTCTCTGGCAAACATTGGAACACATACTGCCATGGGCTTTAGTTATTGGTCAGTCAAGTACCACAGAGTACTATAAAATAAACCTTTGAAGCCAAGTCCTTGATGATGTTTCACGGACTCTGTGAAATAATACCGGCCAGGCACAGTGGCTCACGCCTATAATCCCAGCACTTTGGGAGGCCGAGGAGGGCAGATCAACTGAGCTCAGAAGTTCGAGATCAGCCTGGGCAACAGGGTGAAACCCCATCTCTACTAAAATAATAATAAAAAAAAATTAGCCAGGCATTGCAGCATGCACCTGTAGTCTCAGTTTCTTGGGAGGCTGAGGCAGGAGAATCAATTGAACCCAGGAGGAGGAGGTTGTAGTGAGCTGAAATTGCACCACTGCACTCCAGCCTGGGCAACAGAGTGAGACTTGGTCTCAAAAATAAAAAAAGAAAGAAAGAAAGAAATGACATCAGAGTACAGTTAGTATGTTGCTCAGCTTCCTAATTTTACTGCTTGATGAGTCTTGCCTTGCTCTTTGTGTGTAATTCCTCATGACCTGGCCAGTGACAAACAGTGTAATATTAAGTCATTATCACTGGCTAGCTAGCTTAGATACAGCCTTCAGTAGGCCAGATGCTGCTGCAATAGTGATCATTATAGGGAAAATCTCTTTGAACCAAAAATCAAAGCTTCATCCAAAGCCTGCTTGTTTCAAATAATTTATGTAAAATCAAATCTAACATTTATCAAATGCTAGGAGTGTGGCAGACACAAAACATACTGCCCAGTTCCCCCTTCAAGGAAGGACTTGCTGCCCATCTGCAGCGAGTGTGGTCAGCACACAGCCTTTAGCTGTCGACTCCTTCAGGATCTGCCTCAGCTGCAGAGTCACCTGGCCCGAGGTAACACCCACAGGAGCCTATATCTGGCATCTGAACAGGTGGCTTTATAGCCATAAAGGCTTGACCATTCCAAGCCAAACCCTGGCATCACTGATAGGCAATGCTTTCTCAAGAGCTGCCGGTAAGGCTGAATGAGGTTTTGTTAAGCCTGCATAGAAGCTCATAGAAGCACAATCCTGCTTCTTCCTCATCCCTCTCACAGCTGTTGATCTTCAAATATCTGACACCCCACATGCTCAACCTCAATGTCTGTTTTTGAGATCCCAACCACCAGCAGTATATTAGGTGGTATATATTTCTATGTGTATGCGCACTGTAAATGTCAAATGCCACTTAAAGCACCAAGGCAAACTAAACTTCCCTCACTGGAAACAACTAAAAACCCTTTATAACATATTTTTAAAACTTTCAAATGTATCACCCACCCATCCAAAAAATGAGGAGAATCCTTAGAGGCCAGAAAATGAAGCTACAATCTAAGTACTGCTACACATAGGGCACTTAATAGGAACTAACAAAACTCAGCCAAGGAAATTATAACTGGCCAAGTCCCTATGTAAAGATATCAGGAATAGGTAAAGATACTGTGGTAGACTCTATAACTATTCACTAAATGTTTCAGTGCTTCTCCTTTAGTCTTCTTCCCTGTAAAATGATACATCCCTGTCCAATTGAATTCAGGAGAGCCTGTGGAACCTGCTTGGGCTAGTGAAATTTGGAAGTGATATGTGCCTTTTCTGGGCAGAAGGTTTAAGAGAGTGGTTCATTTTGTCTCCTTTCTCTCTGCCATGAAGACTGACAGTATTCCAGAAAGAAATAACTCCATCAGTGTGTTTTCTGAAGTAAAGATGACATGGCACTGAGAAGTAGCCAATACACAGTAGGCTTGTAGCATGAGTAAAAAGTAGATATTTATAATTGTATGTAACCAAAATGTTGGAGCCATTTGTTACTGAAGTAAAACCTTGTGAATCTTAAATTTAATTGTATTCAGCATTTACTTAGATACTATCTCACCTAATCCTCAAACCAACCTAATTAAACAAATAATTATTCTAGTTGGTGCTTTTATTTGCAAACAACAGACACCAAGTCTGGTAATATAAGCAGAAAAACAATTTGTTAGAGAGATAACACATTGTTCTTAGAGTCCATGTGAAGAGCAAAGAGTCAGGTAAAGAATATATGGAAATAGCCAAGGGAGGAAGAGCTCACCCAGAATCACCCAAGAGAAGCAGTTTTCTTAGGATTCCACTGGAAGCATTGTCACTTCTCAGTACTCTGTGTCACACTACTGGACTCTAGCCTCTGCCACAAATACTGCAAATAAGTGTTGACTTTCTCTAAATCTTAGTATACCTCCGGAAGTGTCAAAGCTCCTGGCAGAAGTGTCCATATGGCTATGCTCATCCGCTGGGTCTATGCCAACAAGTTGACATTAGGAATATCTGCCCCTCATTCAGCTTCCAAGTAAAAGGTAAGGCCCTGACTCACATTTCTCTATGGATTACCTCCAATTAGTGTCATTTAGATGCTATGAAGACAAAAGTGACTGATATGGTATTTCCAGGGGAAAAAAAAAAAAAAAAAAACCAACTTGAGAAAATTGAACCTTGGAGAATTTAAATCACCAATTCAAAATCACACACCAGTAGTGACTTATATCAGATAGAATGCTTATAGCTGCAAGTAACCAAAATCTGAAACTCAAGCAATAAGGCATATGTTATCACACACAAAAGGTACTTCCAAGTGAAGTGAAGGCTTCTGGGTGGATTGGATCAACTCTTTAATGATGTAATTAGTTCATGTAATTTCTTAGCCCACCTGTCAACAATTTCAGCTTTATATTAATGCTGGTACCCCTCATAGTTATATGATAGCTGCAACAGCAATCAAAGCTATGCACTGTTCATTTTCCACCAGAAAAATTCTGTCACCCTCTTATAGCTTCTTTCTTGCTTAGCCAAATTACATCACGTCTTCATCCCTAGACATTGCCACACACTGATTAGCTTAAGCTTGGCTTCCTGAAATAATTGCTGGCAAGAGGAAAGACATTATTATGATTGATTCGTTTATCTTTCATTCTGAAGCTGAAGATAAGGGCACCTTTTTTTCTATTACATGAGCTTCATGAAGAAAGGCAAATGTCTGAAGAAAAAAAAAATACGGTTCTCTTAAGAAGAAGAAAGAAGGCGGAAATAGATAATCTGTAGGCAAACAACAACCACGTTCTGCCTGCTTCTAATACATACATTTTTTTGAAGTGTACACATAAGACAGTGTGGTGATTCCTCAAGGATCTAGAACCGGAAATACCATTTGACCCAGCAATCCCATTACTGGGTATATTCTACTATAAAGACACATTCACACATATGTTTATTGCGTGAAGTATAACTGCGTGAAATTCCTTCAACTATCCCTAAAGAGAAGCTCCCTAAATTTCTTCTGGGTAATGCACTCAACTCAAGTCCATAATCTCTAAGTGATGCAGCAGTGATCCAAGACTAAATAGTATTATACTAACCCCAAACACATTGATGTATCATGATGGGGGAAAAACAAGGCAACATTAATAAAAGTCACTATTTTTTTAAAACAACAAGAGGGAAAATAAAGTGATAATTCTTCCTTATAATACAACATAATCTGTTAGATAGCAACAGAGAGGATGTTCTGTCCTAGAAATGAATTAAGTTTCCTGATCATCCAACCTGGCTTCCCCTGGTTCTGTTCTCTGGGAAAATATCCCTCATCAGTTTTCCCTCAAAGTCAGATGCAGGATAATCACTTTCCAGATTATTTCTCATAAGAGGTTTCACTGCCTTAGTAGTCTACTTTGTATTGGTGTAAGCATACAGACAAAGGGATCAAGGTTGTTGGCTAGGATTTTTGTTTCCTTGGCAGTAAAGCATACATAAATTCACTATGCTTTCAGCCTATTTACTTTTAATCCTTTCTACTGGCTAGGATCCCCAGCCAAAGATCTTGTGAAACCATGGGCTTTGAATCTGAGAATATCACTTTCCTTGCTAGAGCTTTCAAAGTGCCACATTCAGCTTATGCTTAACTATTACATGGCATTTATGAAGATAGGAAGAAGAGCTAACATATGCCAACATCCAAAATTTCCTCTACTAATACATTCTATGGAGGAACATGATGATTCCCAATGTAAAATACATAGCAGTTTAAAAAACTGCTTTTTAATCATACCATACAACATGTGCCAAACAAATACCAATCATTCACTAATTTAATGATAACTTATTAAACACTTAGAGCCTAATATTAGCTTTGGTACAGTAAGGCTACATAACAAACAAGTATAGTATCTCAGAGGTAGACAAAAATACTCATTTTTCTCATCCATGGGCCTTCAAAGTCAACGAGGGCAAAATAAATTCAGGCTTAAGACTGAATATAGGTGTGTTTCACAATGTGTCTCATTCCGGTATATAGAATGAAGGAGTCACAACTAGGCAGGGCATCTTTTTTATTCTCACAGAAATGGCAGTAGACGAGACAAGGCCAACTTTAAAGGTACTTCAAAGGTACATTTCAACTCTCTTCTCATATCATGATAATCTCCTCTAGAAACACTTTCATAGACATACCCAGAAGTAATGTTTAATTCAAGATCTGGGTATCAGATGACCCAATCAAGTTGACACATAAAATTAACCATCATGCCACCCATCTATCATAAGGCCATGTCAAGGAAATGTATGTATAATGCCACTACTACAAGTGACTGAATAATTATAACAATTTAATCTACCACATCTGCTGCATCCCAAGAGTTGTTATAAGCACTGAGGAT